GAGGGATTGATGCAGGAGTGTCGGCGCCTAGGGCCGAGGAGGATGCCCAAGGTCGCCGAAGCCATAGGGCCAAGAATAGACCAGCAAAGTGACAAGCGGCAAGTGCTATAGGAAATTAGCAAAGGTGGCCCTCCTCATCAAAGGAGGACCGCCGGGAAAATAACAACCAGAGATCAAGTTCCGCAGGTAGAAAGGAGCCAACGACGTTAAGGAAAATAGTGTCGTGACGCCGACACGTAGCATGCAACCTGCATTTCTCTTGATTTTCAAAAAGAAAATAAAAAAAAATCAAGGAGGAGGTAGGTCGAGATGGAACAGACCACAAACCCATGTATCAAGTACATCCGGAGCCAAGATGAGGTCCAAATGCACTTGGAGATGTGCCGCTTCAGTTTTGGTCACTCATGGGAGCAATGGGAGTAGGAAAAGGGTCACCATTGCACTCCGAGATATAACGGACTGCAATAGGGTGACAAGGCCATGAGAAAAAGAAGCCTTGATGACTGAAGGTACTAGAAAAAGGGGCCACAAGGATGAGGACCGAATTGCGACGATGAACGGAGACCGTGAGATTAAGATCACTCGACCAAGAACAAGCGGCACACTCGAATGCGTCAAGATGAGGGAATTGGGACCATTGGCGGGACAAGTGTCGGGGACCAATGTGGGACAAGTGTCGGGGATTAGTGCAGGACAAGTGTCGGGGACTTGAGTTGTTTAAAGAAGAACGATGGAGCGCCGTGAGGAATGGATATCCAAAGCAAACTGCGTCGTCAAGATCAAGATCTAAAAAGTCGAAAATATTAGCACCACTAGTGCAAGCACTAGTGAGAGCGAACGGGAGAGCCGAAAAGGAAAAAAAAAGCAATGAAGTGTGGAGGAGGGTGTGGACTGCAATCCAGGATATCGCGGACCAGCCACCCTAGAGAAAATGGAGCCTTGATGGGCCTCGCATGAGAAATGAGCTAGCAAGAGAAAATCGGAGTAGAAGGGGCCACAATTTGGAGCAAACGGTGGCAAAACAGGTCTCCCGTGAGTAAGTGGGTACCATAGTTGCAGTCGGCGAATTAACGGATTGCACCTTGGGCATGAAGTAGGCCTAAATCAAGATGTAGGGCCGAAAAAAAAACTCAACAACTGATTGACACTTGGCAGGTCAAAAAAGAATTTGGAGGGGGAAAAAAAAGAAAAAAAAAAGAAAAAAAAAACAAGAAGAAAAAGTGAAGGGCCACCAACGATAAAAAATGATCATTTGGGAGATACATTTATGACTAGATTCACATAAGGGTAAATGGGTTACAAAGTATCTTGATTTTCTTTAGATTTTATTAAGAAAATAGAAGAAAAATAAAGCCTCATGCAACGGAGATGCAATGGATTACAAGAGTGAGGGAAAACTCATGTTTTAGGTACATTTGGAGCCAACATTTAACCCGGATGCACTTGGAAATTGGCCGCTTCATTTTGTTTTAGTTTGAGGCTAGTGGTGGGGCAAATGGAATAGGAAAAAGATCATTAATGTAGTCCGAGAAATAATGGACTGCATGGGGGTGCCAAGGCGATTGGAAAATGAGCCTTGGCGCACTCAAGACACTAGAAAGGAGTGTCTTAAGCTTGAAGCAAGTGGAGACGGTAAATGGCAACCGTGAGATGAGTATCTCGCGGTTAGGAATAATCGACGTACTTGAGACACATTCAAAGAAGAGATAGGGACCGTCGAGGACTAGGAAGTTCCAAATAAAAATAGGACGCAGTCAGGGATTATGTCGGGGGCTAGATGTGCCCAAATAAAAATAATTAAAAATTGGGACATATGCCGGTGGGACTACTGTCGGGACTGGAAAACGGGACTAGTACAGGATAAGTGTGGGCTACGCATGGAGAATGAACACGTGACGCAAGTGGCATCGTTGAGATCAAGATCTTGACGGTGCAAAATATTCGCATGGGGCCAAAAATGCGAGGAGTTTGAGGTAAAAGGAAGAGAGGCAATGATGGTGGGAGGCCTACCTTGCAGTCCGAGATATATCTTGGACAAGCAGGACATAAGAAAGTGGAGCCCCAAGGGGCTGTATGCAGAAAATAGGCTGCCTAGGAAAAATCGGAGGAAGGGGGGTCAAAAATTTAGAGTAGTGGAGGCAAAATGGACCTCCCAAAATGGGGGCTTCATTATTATGATCAGAGAAATAAGGGTAAACTGCCCATAAAAAATTCCACAATATTGATACTTGTCACAATAAAATAAAAGAAAAGAAAAGAAAAAAGGGAGAAAAAAGAGGGAGAAAAAAGTGGAGGAGGATGTGTCGGGCAGGTAGGGATTGGCAGGTCTGAGTGGAGGGCAATCCTGAGTGAAGAGATAAGGCCCTTGGGGAATTATCCCGACAATATCTAAATTAAAACGGCAAAATTCAGAGAAAAGCAAAAAGAAGTTGGCTGTACTTTTTCTAGGCCATTGATCTCTGATCAGATCTCATGGAGGAGGGGATATGGCCGTTTTTTGTGGGGCCAACTCGGAAATGAGTTGGCAACCCAAAATGGAAAGCAAGAAAAAAGGGAAAAAAACGAAACAGTGCATTTAGCTGAAAAGGAAGGCCAAATGCACCAAAAATTGAAAAAAGTGAGCCTTGGGGCTCAAATTTGAAGCAAGGACCACTTGGGGGTAACTCGGATTAATGTTGGCCTTGGATCCCAGCCAGATCCAAGGCTGAGATAGCACCGAGGTACAAGAAAATACCTCGGCCTACTCAAATTGGGGTAGGACTAGGAAAAATTGAGAAAAAGGCCCATGAGGCCTTTTTCTTTCAAGTAGGCTTGTCCTTTATATTCTCAGACCCAAGGGGCTCTTGAGGCTGGCCGAGCTGGTGCCAATCACTCGGACTGCATGTACCTGGCCAAAAAGAGGCCAAGTGCTTCCAGAGAGGCCTAGTGAAGGGAAAAACACTTGGGGGTACCTCGGTTCGCTTTGGGGCACATGGGGAGGCCCGTGGGTTGGCCGAAGTGTTGTACCCAACCTATATAAGTTGGGGAAGCAACCCGCCACACTCACATTTGCATGAGTCAAGTACATGCTGCCTGCATGAGCTCAAGAGAGTTGTACACTCAACCAAAGTGAGAGGAGGGGGACCACTGCCAGTTTGGAAGCTTGGAAGAGACTGGAGACTGGTGGGAGAGGCTGTTGAGATTAGTGGAGGTTGTGCCAGCCTAGGGAAGTGATCTGCCATAGCCCCAGGCTGTGAAGGAGAGAGGAAGGCTAGTAGGGGTTCACTTAGCCCTCTTAGAGGGGAGGAACCCATAGCCTTAGTGGTAGGAGCTTGCCACAACCTGTGAGAGATTGAGGGAGGAAGGAGATGAGGGCTTGAAGAAGAAGGAAGCCATAGCTCGGTTGTTAGTGTGCAAAGAGAGAGAAGGTTTCACCAAGATTGTCATCCCATCTCAAGATAGTAGAGGAGGTGAGTGAGAAGCTTTTTCTTCCTCTTCCTATTTTTCTGCTGCTTCTTCCCCTTCTTCTTCTTCTCACTCTTCTTCCTCTTCTTTTTCTTTCTTTTTATCTCCTTCTTCTCGCTTCTCTCCTTTTTCTTCTCCTAATTATTCTTCATTTTTTTCCATCTTCTTCCTCTCCTTTCTTCTGCTGTTTCTTTCTCTCCATAACTAACATACTAAGCATGGGGAGGGTAGGAAGTAGCTTCTTCACTAGAGATTGCCTCCGTGTAGCCAATTTTTCCACTTCGAAGTATTTCATCACTTTTCATTTTGAGTTTTCATGCATGAAAGTGAGTTTCACTCACTCTCCCTTCACTTTTTGTTCATCTTTTCACTTGGGTGTAAATCGCAATTCCGTTTCTTGCTCTTCTTAGTGTTGATGTCATCATATGCTCATGCTTTGTCCATTTTCTCATTCCAAAGGATTTCGTTATTTTGCATTTTCAAGTTCCCATGTATGAGAGTGAGTTTCACTCACTCTCCCTTCGCTTTTTGTTCACCTTCTCGCTTAGGTGTAAACCGCAACTTCATTTCTTTGTCTTCCTAGTGTTGATGTCATCATATGCTCATGCTTTGTCAATTTTTTTCACTTCAAAGTAATTCGCTACTTTGCATTTTGAGTTTCTATACATGATAGTGAGTTTCACTCACTCTCCTTTCACTTTTTTATCATCTTCTCACTTGGGTGTAAGTCGCAACTTTGTTTCCTTCTCTTCTTAGTGTTGATGTCATGATATGTTCATGATTTTTTCATTTTCTCACTTCAAAGTATTTCGCAACCTTGCATTTTGAGTACCCATGCACGAGAGTGAGTTTCAAATCTCCCCTTCGCATTTTGTTCATCCTCTCACTTGGGTGTAAATCGCAACTCCATTTCTTGCTCTTTTTAGTGTTGATGTCATGATATGCTCATGCTTTGTCCATTTTCTCATTTCAAAGTAATTCTCCATTTTGCATTTTGAGTTTTCATGCATGAGAGTGAGTTTCACCCAATGTCCCTTTACTTTTTGTTCATCCTCTCACTTGGGTGTAAATAGCAACTGCATTTCTTGCTCTTCTTAGCGTTGGTGTCATCATATGCTCATCCTTTGTCCATTTTTTCACTAAGTAATTTGCCTTGCATATTGAGTTCCCATGCATTAAAGTGAGTTTCACTCACTTCCCCTTCACTTTTTTGCAAGGAAGACGAGCAATAGCGAACTTCAGAAATCAAACAGCATCATACACATAAGACCAAATAGTCGTGACCTCAAACCAATAGCAGAATTGCATCACGAGTTTCACCAAACAAGAACACAACAAAAATTCATAATTGACAATGCTGGAATAGTTTCATCATCATCAATGAAGAACCAATGTGGATATCCTATCTGGCGCTCGACGCCCAGAGAACAAATGGCAGATCCCATCTAGCCTAGACTACAATGTCGTTGATGACGTCAACAGCTCCCCGAAGTACGAGCAGATCTCGGCCAATGTCGTACGCTTCAAGCACCAGGTATGTCTCTCGTATCACTCACAACCTCGTTTCCCAACTCACAGATGCCACATGCATGCAAGGACCACCATGAGCCCCATCCAGCATACAGCAGCGCAACTCGACTATGGCTGCCTGCTCCTTCCAGCTCGCATGTGAGCGCTGGCCAACGTTAGCGTAACAGCGCTTGCGCAACATGCAGCCAGTGCCCGAATGCCGATTGTGTGGGCAGGGCCTTTTTTAAATGGAAGTGCCCTGCCTGCCTCGCGTGCAGCCTGTCTGCTCTGGGTCCCTGCCCAGAAGCTTCTGGTAGGCCCAGGGAGGTTGAGCCTCAGTCCAAACGAATCAAGCCCAGGGCCACAGACACTTATCCGTGCCCAACTGCTCGCAGCCTGAGTTGGGCCTATGCTGCGTATCTCGCCCAGGGCCTGACTTAGATACATTTGACAAAGGAGGCTAGGGCCTGGGCGCCTTCAACCAACTGGCGCTGCACAACTGCCTAAATTTTCCCATTTGCGAAGTAATCCAAAATAGGCCTCTTGTCGTCTGTTGAGCCTGCCTTCACTTAGGGCGGCCGACCTGTTGCAAATTGGGGCCCGGTAGGGCGTATCGAGGCACACGCATTCCCTCCTCCATACTTCGTTAGTCCTCTAAGACGTTTAGTCAATCTGGCGCTTTCCTTTCTGCAGTAACCTCTCGTAGTGGGCGACAACATGTGGAGCGGTCTTTATCAATTCTTCTCGTGTAAACCATGTGTCGTCCTTAGGATCAATGTGATGCCTGAACCGAACGTGATACTGCAGCTTCGGTTTCAGAGGACGTCCCCTGCCGGTCGGTCTTGGAATTGCATATTTCTGTGATCCACGATTTCATCAATATCGACCTCTCTATCCATGGTTGGGGGCAGCATTGAGCTTCGCGAAGGGAACTGGTCAGTTTCCTTGAATGGTGCAAGCTTAGAAGCATGAAAAACAGGGTAAGTGCAAAGGTGTCCAGGGATCCGAATAACATATGAACGTCCATCTGGTTCATCCCCAACTACATCTAAAACCTCCCATGGTCCAAAGTACTGTGGCATAAGCTTACGGGAAATCATGTGCTCCTGTCCCATTTCAGAAACCTTGACCCAGACCCTGTCCCCTACCTGAAACATAGAGGGGCGGCGGTGCTTGTTCTCAGATTCGATCATCGCTGCGTATGCTTTGTGCATGTGTTCTACTGCCTGCTGCATATGACTCTCATATCTATAGGCGAATTCCACAGTGCCAGGAGCAGCAGTAGGCTGGTTCTCAAGTCGCAAAAAATCAAGGGGAAGTCTGGGTTTGAATGTTAGAAGTAGGCTGTTAGGACTTACTCCCGTGGCACTATGAGCTGCGTTGTTGTACAAACTAGTGATGAGAGCAAGCTTCTCGTCCCAGTCCACTTGATTAGGCTTAATGTAGTGCCTTAGCAAGTGTTGAACAATGCAATTCATTTGCTTTGCCTGTCCATTTGCCTCTGGATGATTTCCAGATATCGTTTGCAGTTGCGTTCCTTGTTCGGCAGTTGCGGCCTTCCACAGTTCACTGGTGAATCGGACGTCCTTGTCGCTGATTATAGACTTCGGCAAGCCAAAGTCTCTGACCCAGTTTTCCTTAAGTAGCTTCATTACGTACTCGGTCTGTGCTGTTTTCGACATGGCCACTAGTCTAGCATACTTACTAAATTTGTCCACGATGACGTATATGTACCTCATGCCACTCTTGTTGGTGACCAGCGTATCCATGAAGTCCATGGACAGGCTTTCACCATGCCTTTCGGGAAGGGGCTTGAGCAGCCCAAGAGGAGCCTGTATCCGAGGCTTGTCACGTTGACAAACTTGACAAGTCTCAACATACAGTTTGGCATCTCTCATCATCGAGGGCCACCAAAAACGCTGCAACAGATTGGCTGCAGTCTTCTTGAAACCAAAATGTCCAGTGGCATCGCGACTCTCGCCTAAAACTAAACTATGCAAAGACTCTCTATTAGGAACACACAACTGTTTATTCCTGGCCTTCTCAAGGAACAACAAGCCGTTGACCAACTCAAACTCGACAAAAGTCCCCTTGTCCTTCGCCTCGAGTCTGCGTATGATTTCAGACATGAAATGGTCCTCGCGATAGGCTTCCACCAAAGAGCGAGTGACATCGTCCGCAAGCCCAAACTCAGTGATCAACGCACCGGAGAATTCTGGCCTAGGCGACAACGCATCAGCAACTCTGTTGTACTCACCTTTGAGGTATTGGGGCTCGAAGTCATACTGCTCAATGACTTCATCCATCGCTTCATCACATCGAAGAACACAGGTTAAGTTCTCATCCACTTCAGGGTCTGATGATCAGTCCTGACGATGAAGACCCTCCCAAGGAGGTAGTGCCTCCAATGGGTTAGCGCTTTATAGATCCCGTACAACTCCTCATAGGTGGACTTAGCCAACTTATGAGAGGGCATCTTTTGGGACATGTACTCCACTGGCCTCAAATTTGGCCCCTCCTGCTGCGCTAGCACGGCACTAATGCCATATTGGCTAGCATCCGTGGTTACTACGAACGACTTGTCAATATTAGGAAGTTTCAAGACCTCATGATGTGTCAACGCATGCTTCAGATGTCTGAAAGCAGCCTCACACCTGTCTGTCCACTCCCATAGGGTGTCAAGGCGGGTCAAGTAAGTCAAAGGAGCGGCCACTATGCTATAGTTCTTAACGAAGTTGCGGTAGTAGTCGGTCATCCCTAAGTAGGACCTCATCTCAGTCACAGACTGAGGACGCGGCCAGTCACGAATGCTGGCCACCTTCGCGCCATCGGGCTTCAAACCCTCCGCGGAAATCTCATGACCCAAGTACAAGATCCAGGTCCGACCAAACTCACATTTCTCCCCGTTGATCTTGAACTTGTGCTGCCGGAGGAGACTGAGGACTTTGTCTAAGTGCGCAACATGCTCCTCGACAGTCCTACTAAAATAAGTATGTCATCGAGGTACATGATGACAAACTTATCCACGTAGTCATGAAAGATCCGATTCATAGCGTGCTGAAAGGTGCCAAGAGCATTGTAAAGGCGGAAAGGCATCACCACAAACGCTTACAGACCGGACCTGGTTTGAAAAGCGGTTTTGTGCTGATCCTCGGGCCGTATTGCAATCTGATGGTACCGGACTTCAGATCTATCTTACTGAAGTACCGACACCCTTGCACTCTATCTAGCAAATCGTCGATGCGAGGTAGGGGGTCTCGATTCTTGACAGTGATGGCATTGAGGCCCCTGTAGTCAATGCACATGTCAATGTATCCCCCTTCTTTGGCACAAATAAAATTGGTGATCCGTAAGGGGAGACACTCGGCCGGATCCAACCCTTCTCTACGAGTTCTTTGAGCTGTCGGCGAAGCTCGTCAAGCTCGCCTGGAGACATCCGATAGATCCTACCCTTCGGGATGCTAGACCCTGGGATAATCTCTATCGCGTGGACGACCTCCCTCTCGACAACCCCTGTTGGCTCTTCAAATAGATCAGGGTACTTAGCAACTACTCCCTCTATCTCTGGCGGCATTTTCACCGGCTCGCCTGCTGCAGCGACATAAACTAGATACATACCTCCAGATTTTGCTTATAATAGCTATAAAACGCAGCCGCACACATGCATCCGTAGGACTCAGTTCGACTACTAGCCTTACGTAATTTGGCGGTCCCTCCACCTGGCAAAGTGTGTTTGACCACTTTTCGGTCCCAGTCTGGGGCTATGCAACGGAGAGGTAGTACATACCTAACAAGATATCCATAGGGAGATCATCGCTCACTAGGAACGAGACGCGATGTCTCAGTTCCCCTCTCGCTTACGGGAAAAGACACTCGATGTCCTGAAGGTAGTCGTTGACTACCATGTGCTGTTTGTTGGCACAAGTCGACTCCACAGGTTGACTCAGGAGCTGCACTTGCCCGTGTAAGCGCAACCTCTCAACGCACATGCGACTAATGAAGTTCCGTGTCGAGCAAGTGTCATAATAGCCCCCGACCTTTCGGCCGCTGATGACTACCTAGCTAACGAACATCTCACCCTTAGGGGCTTTAGCCAATGCCGTCCAAGAAGCTATTGGGTCTGATCTAGACCACTCCTCCTCTAGCTCCTCTAAGGACCCAAACACATTCATCGAACAGAGGCTCGATGGGTCTGAATGTGTTTGCGGGACGACGATGGAGTCGGTAGCTTGGGCCATCACTCGAGATGGTGAGGGTGTGTTCACCACCTCGACCCTAGGAGGAACAACTACTATTCCTACTGGCCCGACGTGTTTCCCGGAGCGGTGCCAAAACTGCTAGCCACATTGCTACCAACGGGAGCGGAGGATCCCAACGCCTGCCCCATCGTAGGCGGGATCTTCTCAGTCACCTTCTTATCGCGACACTTGAGTTGGTTATGGCCATATTGGCCATACTGGGTACATGCCTGCCGCGTGTTCCGATCTCTCCACACGTCCTCGCTGAGACCCGCTTTCTCCCATGGAGGAGCATTGGGGTCGACTTGACTCCTATACCGGGAACCTCCACGGCGTCTACTGGTCGCCTTACCTTTCTGAACTACAGCAACGACTACTCCACCCCCTGAAGCTTTTATGCTGCCAGCCTCTGAACCCATTCCCGCTTGGAAATCGTCATCCAATTCGATGGTAGAACCATCGTTGTCGACGAAAATAATTAGTCCCTTTGCTTTCCAGCTGGGAGCCAGTGACTTGACTCCTATACCGGGAACCTCCACGGCATCTACTGGTCGCCTTACCTTTCTGAGCTACGACAACGACTACTCCAACCCCTGAAGCTTTTATGCTTCCAGCCTCTGAACCCACTCCCGCCTGGATATCGTTATCCAATTCGATGGTAGAACCATCGTTGTCGACCGAAATAATGCGTCCTTTTGCTTTCCAGTTGGGAGGCAGTGACTTTCTCCTAAAATCCGTCGTGGGTGTCTGACCATGCCCTATCTTTGCTTCCAGATCTATGGCCTTCTTGCTAAACGAGGGAAAGTTGTGCATGTTGATGTTGGCCTCACCTGCCAACTGATTCCTGAGAGGGATAGGAACGCATCTAAAGTAGGAGGTGAGTAAAACCTAGGGGTCATACCACACCTCAGGGACACAGATCAGACGCTCTACTGCGTCTGTGGCCTCCCTTTTTTTATTTAAATTGCCTAGTATGCAGAGTCAGGATCGCATCAGTGGCCTTTTGGGCCTCCTCAGGATCATGCCACCTGTCTTCCACCAACTTGAGGAAGTGATCCAGTCTCTGGGTGACCGCCCAAGCGTGGAAGTCATGACAGTATCCCTGCAACAGAACTAAACCACTCAACCATCTTGCTGCACTCCCCTCTAAATAGGAGGCAGCCACAAGCACTTCCTCGTGCGGCAAGGTAAGCTTACACTTAACATATGGCACTGCCCTCAACCATGTGTCGAGGTCTTCGCCCCTCTTATCCCCTTTAAATGGTTTAGGAGCGATGATGACTATCTTCAGAACCCATTGACTTTGTCCCGGTACCTGCACCATTCCGAGTTCTAGACCCTGTGGTACAGGCTGTTGCACCTGCTGCTGGGGTTGTGTACCCTGCGGCTGTGCAGGCTGCGAGACAACAGGCTGCCCACTTACGGCAACCTGCGACGGAGGTTGGGAGAACACTGTCTGTGCAGGAATTTGCACACTAGGACCTGCTGAGAACCCTCCTGCTAACGAAATACCCAGGGAAACAGTTTGTACCGATGCTGGGGAGACATATGGGGATACCCCAGTCACCGGTGGGACATAAGGAGGATGTACAATGTAGACAATGGACCTACCTGCGCTCCCCCGACCAGAACGACCAGACTATGTTGGATGTCCCGAAGGAGGGCCGTATGGTGGTTTTGCATTTCTACTACGCCTAGCAGAACTGTCCGCAACGTCCTCACATCTGCACCCATGTGCGTCACGTCCATGCCCTCTAACTCACTGACGTCCGCTTCTCTCCGCTGCATCCTGGCTCTTCTCCTAATCATTCTTTTTTTTTCCCCTTTTCTCTCTCCTAAAGCCTTCTGTAGTTGTGCCTCCTGCAGTGCTGCCTGCTGTATGGCGATCTCATCGGAAGTCAACACTATTGGCTGGATTGCCATGATGCCAGTCGACTGACTCTGGGTCTGCGCGACCGTTGACCCCACGACCGTTAACAGCTGGCCTGGGAACTGTGTTGCACAGGCTGTTGAAGCAGTGGCTTCACTTGCGAATGCCCTGCTGGCCTCTGCTGCCCTAGCTCTTCGCTGCTGCTGCTGCCGTTCCCTTTGCTGGCGGAACAGTAACCTATCATCCTCGGGTCCTAATGCCACGTGGGCAATCGGGCGTCTAACCGATCGCAAGATTCGGTCGTCCTCACTAGTGGTATCCCTATCGCTCATATGCTATACAACTGTACACAATCTGCACTAACTCACTCTTTGATGCTTACCGCAGTGTAGTGCACAAACCGATTTATACTATTTAAAATAATTAATCGGTGGCTGCGTCAGAGTAGATACATTTGGGTCCAACAGGTAAGTTCATATTCCTACAAACGAAACTACTTTGACTTTGACTAGTTCGCAAACAGAAA